CAAAAATATTTTTCCTAAATGTTGGTTTTTTTTTTTTTTTTTTTTTTTTTTTTTTAGAATTTTTACCATAGGATGCTTGTACTTACCAGAGAGAGACAGAGAGAAAGAGAAAGAGAGAAATCACACCCCAAGCAGGGTGGCCATGCCGAAATCCCTTCTTCACATCTGCTCTTGGGATTTGGGGCGTGCACCCACATGCACCCAGCGTGAATTTCAAGCTACTGGGTCTGGGACTCACACCGCAGCTGGCCACGTGGGAGTCCAGCGTTTTAACCACTATGCTACGTGCCGGCCCTGCTGAGCCTCTGACATGAGTGGCGTGTGTGCACACCTCACCTTTCAAAATGCATGTCAGACGATTAATACGAAAGACCACTGGATGGGGCCAGCAGGTGGTGTGGTGGTTACGGTGCTGGACTCTCACATGGTCAACCAGGGTTTGAGTCCCAGACCTGGTGGTTCACTTTCACTTTCTCTCTCTGATCAGATTTAAAAAGCTAATAATGATGGGACCAGCAGTTAGCGTAATGGCTATGTTGCTGGACTCCCACGTAGTCGACCGCGGTTCGAGTCCCGGACTCGGTTGCTTAAACTCACTTGGGGCGTGTGTGCGTACGTGCCCAAGATCCCAAGAGGAGAATGGAGGAGAAGGGATTGCGGCGTGGCCATCCCCCCTGGGGGGTGATCTCTCGCTTTCTGTCTCTCTGTCTCTGTCTCTCTGGTGAGCGCACACGTCCTATAGCAAAAATCTCTCAAAAAAAAAAAAAGCTAATAATGATGATGAGTAAAATGGGATAAAATTATATATATTTTAGAGAGATTTCTGCTATAGGGCACATGCGCTCACCAGAGAGACAGAGACAGAGAGACAGAAAGCGAGAGATCACCCCCCAGGGGGGATGGCCACGCCGCAATCCCTTCTCCTCCATTCTCCTCTTGGGATTTTGGCATGCATGCACACACATCTGGTGTGAGTTTTAAGTCACCAGTTCTGGGACTCAGACCACAGTCCACTACGTGGGAGTCCAGTGTCATAACCGTCATGCCATCTGCTGGTCCCAAATAAAATAATTATTGAAAAAAAAACCACTGGGTCCA